GCAAATTCCAAGTAAAAGCAAACTGAGTACGAAAGAATGCAACAAAAAATACTTGAAAATTAGCTTCCTGGATTTCCTCTAAATTTACTTTTATTTTATTTTTGGCTAAATTATCCAAAAGTTTTTCTAAATAATTTTTATTTTTTAGTGAATTTCTCCCCCTTTTTTTATTTTCGTTTATTTGTAATGTTTGAATATTTATATTAAAATTTATTTTTAAATTTTCTTCTTCATTTTCAACATTACTATAACGTTTACACAACAAAAGATAGGTACTTATAAATGGGTCGTCCCAAAATAACCTTTTTATTTCATCATCACTAGATTAAAAAATAAGATTATTAATTTTATCACAGAAGTGTTTAATTTGTAATATCCCGAATTATCCTTAAAGTAAAATGTGAATAATACAACAACGGTCTCCGTTTTCCCACGACGAGGTACATCGGTGAATGCGAGAAGGAGAACGAGGGCTCTGGAGGAGACCCCTCTCACATCCCCGGAGAATTTCCTTCCTAGGGAACGAAAGTCAACTTAAAAATCTAATTACTACTTGTCTCTTTCGTAATCCAATTGCTCACGAGACTATAATTAAGAGATGAAAATTTAGAATTTTTTTCCTTTGGGATAAGTTTTTCCATCAAATTACCGTATTTCTTGAAATAGTACTACCTCTTGAACGTGACCGGACAATCCGTCAGTGGACAATCCGGCAGTGGAAAATCCGTCAGTGGACAATGCGTCAGTGGTCGGACAATCCGTCAGTGGACAATCCGTCAGTAAAAAATTCGTAATTCCTACCCATACTCTAAATAACGCGCCTAAAATTTTCACTTTATCGTGTGGGAGATGATAAGAGATATCGGGAATTTAGAGATTAATAAGTAAATCAGCAGATTTGGCTGGATTAAAAGGATATCAGTGGATTTGAAAGATATTGGGACATTTGGTTGGATTAAGCTAATGTCGATGGATTTAGAAGGATATATTAGTATAGATATATTTGGATATAGATATATTTGGATGGATTAGATTTACATGATTAACGTGTGGGATTATATCGGATTTGGATGAATATTGTGGGATTGTGGGAAATCTATGAATAGGAAAGATTGTTTTTAAATGGATATCGTGGAACCTCCTACAAATCCTCTTAATCCGTCTATATCCCTTGATATTCCACTTAATCGCCAAAATCCATTTTAATCTCTCAAATTCCACGATAGCCACCATATACTACAGATTAATCCCACAATATCTTTGAATTCCCCGATATCTCCCAAATCCACTTATATCCTTTAATTCAGCTAAATCGTCCGATTTCCTCATTAATCTCCAAATTTTCGAAGTCTCTCATAATCCCCCATACGATAAAATGAAAATTTTTGGCCGCGGTGTTTGGGTATGGGTAGAAATTACGAATTAGTTCACAGACGGATTGTCCGACCACTGACGCATTGTCCACTGACGGATTTTCCACTGCCGGATTGTCCACTGACGGATTGTCCGGGAGCCCTCTTGAATTAGTACTCCCCCCTCAAATAACACTCCCCTTTGGAGAAGGGTTGAAAAATAGTACTCCCGGGAGTACTATTATAGGAAATACGATAATTATCTTACATTATTCCATTTTGTACTTCTTTATTTTTATCATTGTCTATAGTCGAATTAATTAAATAATATTGTGAAATAAAAATAATTTTAATAATTATTTTGTCATTTTCTGAATCAGAAATATTTTTAAAAATTGCTATATTATCTAGCAATTCTGTATAATAACATAAAAGCACTGGAGGTAATATATTGACATCCATAGGTTTTGAGTTTAAAAAATGTTTTGTAAATCCGTCACAAGTTTTTTCTAAAATGAGAAAAAATAATATTTAAAAGAATTATCAAATAAATAGGACCCAAAAGGAGACTGAAATTCCTGTCTGATCTAAAATTGATATACCAAATTTCTTATAAAATAATTCACTCCTTTTAAGAGTTCACTACTTTTTAGCCCTCAGTTTTTTATTAATTTTATTTTGTCCAACCCTTCTATTTTTGAGATTTTGTTAGTTTATATTTATTTTTAACAGCCTAATAAATTTAATTTTTAACCAGAAAGTCCATTAGTAAGTGCATACTTACAACAACTTTCTATAGTTTCTGGTTACTATTTGCAACCAAAATCAACTTACTTTTTAAAAAGTATTTCCAAAAAATATGTATGTATTCTTAAATAAATTTTAATAAACTTACTCCTCAAAAAATCCAATGTAGACGTGGTTTCTTTTAAAATTGTTGAAATCGTTAATAAAAATAACAACAAAAATTTCATAATAATTTTTATTTAAATAAAATATTTAAATTTAATTGATTAAACATTTTAAATAAAATTTAATAAAATAAAAATTAAAGTGCTGGTTTAAAGGGGAGAGAGGGGGGGGGGGGGAGAAGAAAATCTATAATTTTTAAATATTTTGAAAGAGAGAGAGGAATTATAGTTTGTACATAATTATACGGCGGTACGACAATTGCGGATACGCACGTGCGGATGCGACGATTGCGGATATAAAATTTTTAAAAAGTTTAAGATGTTTTAAAGTTTTAAGTGCCACATCAGTCTAAGAATGATTCGGAAACCGTCAGAAGTCGGAAACTGTCAGCCGGGACTAAAAAACAGAACATCATTTCAATCATTTTTAAAATTAAAAAAATTTTTAATCCGCAATTGTCGAATCCGCACGTGCGTATCCGTAATTGTCGTAACACCAATTATACATAGTCTGTACATAATAATTAATAAATAATAATTAATCTTTTATTAAAACTTTAAGTTTTTAAACTTTTGAATATATAATCTTAATCGTGAAAACTAAACTTACAGGACTCTTAAAAATTTTGAGAATTTTAAGGTTTTAATTTTTTATCCAGAAAATCCCTTTGTAAGTCTGTACTATGTACATTTCAATTTCTCAAATACGAAAGTCAATTTGTAAGTACTTCAGTTCCAAAATAAGTACGAATCCTTCCCCTGCCTTATTTTAATGTTTAAATCTTCCAATATTATTTTTTTTGTTTTTAACAAGTCGATTGAATTCCTCCTACTCCAGCGATATCTGGAGTAAGAGGTGTCACTTTAAATCACTTGATATCCCAGATACCCTCCAAATCACTCGATATCTCTACAAATCCACTTTAATCACAGTCATTAGATATTCTTCTAACACTTCGAACTCACTGTTATTTTTCTTAAATACTCTTGATCCCTCGATATCACGCATAAATCCCCAAATTCCATGTAAACATATTTACTAATCATGAGTCAATCACGTGTCAGAGCTAATAGATCATCAACCTTCCCTGATAAGGGATAAGGATTAGGGTTGTTCTAGTGACTTTGTGATAATTTTTGTGAGCAACACAGGCGGGAACTTACGAGGAAAGTTTTAAATTCTCTAATTTCGACGAATTTATTAAATTTGAGAAATTGACAAATTTTCAAAATAAACTATAAAATTTAAAATTTTATAAAAAAGGGAGCAAGATGTTAAATTCTAAATTTTTATTTAATTCCAAGATGTTTACAAAATATTCCAAAATGTCTTTTACCATTAAAAGGAACCTAGTAATTTTATCTTTTAAAAGTTTTGAATAAAAAAAATAAAAAAATTTACTAATTGTTAAAATAAAAATTAATGAAAAATTATTCATCTTACAGCAAAATGCTTTTACTAGTTAGGCGTTGTGGCTAAAGATTTACAAAAGATAAAATTGAAAAGCAGACGTTCAGTTTGTAGAAATAACAGAGTGTTTGTTGTCCACAAGGCAGTTACTGTCAGGTAGAATTTTTTCAAATTAACGTCCAAAATTACATCCAATTTTTTTGTTTCTCCCTCTTTTTTTCTAATTTTAATCACAAAAGCATTAAACTTTAATTTTCTCAGTAATGAGAAGAAGATACTATTTTTAATTTTAACTATAAAATTAAAGCTTTAATTTATTAATTTTTTTTAGTTTATCTCATTTACTTTACACAATTTAATTTTTATTTTTAATATTTTTTCTTATGATCTTCCTCGTTAATGTCTCTTCTTATCTCCTAAATTAATACTCATAAACTACCCTTCAATCACAAGTTCATTGATTGAAAAGAGTTTAAAATGATGAAAGGCTAATGAAGTAATTTAATATTTATTTTTTTTCTAAAGTTTTTTGTGGAAAAACTTTCATTCTCCCCCCCCCCCCCCAAAAAATCTTCACTCTTTCACTTACCCCCTCTAAATAATCAAAATATTATTTAATTATTTTGGTCAATCTCTATTTATCAAAAAATGAGAAGCAGGGACACTTATTTCTTTGATTAGTCATTTATTTAATGTCCTCTTCTCAACATTTAAAGCACTCTCTCCTAGTGTCACAAAAAAATAGAATCAATGCCGCTTTGATCAAAGGCCATTTTAGCTAGAAAAAAAGGAGAGGGGGAAGTGCTCATCAATTGAAAAACCTTTCGATATATTCACCTACCTACATATGTCTTTTATTTAGCATTTTTATTTTTATCTAGAAAAATATATTTATTTGTTACTACACTCGTGGAAAAAGAGAAAGTTTTTTTAGTTTTTTTTTCTGATTACAATTCTTTTCTAATTTTTATATTTTTAAATGAAAAATATCTATAAAACAACATAAACTTGAATTCCCAACTTAACAGAAAAAATTTTAATTAAAAAAAGTACAATAACACACAGCTAAAAACTTCTAATCAAACTTTAAACTTTAAATTTAAAGAAACGCTAATAAAAATAAGCCTGAATTTCCACTAAACTTATCAAGAAAGCTCGAATATAAAATTTTTACCAACTTAAAATTAAAACAAATAAAACTTGAAAATAAACTTATCCAACTTAACAAAAACAAACTTTAATTTAAAACAAATAAAACACAAACTTTTCCAACTTTAAAATTTAAATAAACTTGAATATTCTAAACTTGTTTTAGTAACTTTAAATATGAAACTTAATAGTATATTATTTATTATAAGCATCATCATCTCAAGTGACTTTGTTTTGAGTTATTATGGTCCTTTGAAAATAAATCAAACACCAAAAATTGGAAATTGGACAGATGCTTGTGATGAATGCAAAATTGTAAATAAATTAAATTTAATTTAAAAAAATTATTTAAAAAAAGATAATTAACAAAATTGTCGAAGTAGCAAAGGATCCAACAAAATTAGAAGAATTGAAGCTTTTGCTTACTGCTTTGTGTGACACAACTGGATATAGAGAGGAATGTCTTATGTTTGTTAAAAGACTTGATTTGTTTATTGACAGATTACTTCCATTTTTGGTAGGGTTTGAAAAGAGAAAATTAATTTTTAATTCGGTTTTGACTTTAAATTAAAGAAAAATAGAAAAAAATATTCCGATTTTCCATTGTCAACCCAAAAAAAATTTGGACTTTTAAATTTAATTTTATTTAATCAAAAAAATATTTTTTCAAACTAAAATTTATAGCAAAACACAGATAAAGTCTGTAAAGATTTGCATATTTGCAAAAATCGTAAATTGGAGCATTTCCACCGTGTTGGAGTCCATTTTGCTAGTCAATTGGAGGATATAGACAATGCTAAAGTTTTTTAATTTTAAAAATATATGAAAATTAATTTTTGAAAGAATTCCCTTTTGTGTGAAGAATGCCAATTTGCTGCGCATGAATTGCTTGATTTGGTTGGAGAGCCCCATGTTCAGGCAAATAAAAATAATTTTTATTTTGCTAAAAATTAAAATTTTTAGCAAGAAGTCCATGATTGGCTCGAAGAAAATGTTTGTTCACATACAGGAAAATATAAAGAATTAGTTAATTAATTATTATTAATTAATTTAATTATTCTGTTATTTTTTATAGTGCTCTCAATATTTGGATGAAACATTACCAGAATTCTTTTTAGAATTGAAAACTTTACTTTCTGACCAAAAGAAGGTGAGAGAAATTCTGAAAAAATTCTGATTTTTATTTTTAATTCTGATTTTTAATGCGTTGTTTAAATAAAAATCAGAATTGTTAAACAGAATTACTACTAATTAAATGTTCTAAAATTTAAATATTCTGTTTTTTTTCTTTTTAAATTCTGATTTTAATTTAAAATTCTGATCCAAATATTTTTCTTTCAGTTTTGTGAAGACCTCGAACTTTGCCCAGCAATGTCCTTCCCCTCTATTGGTAGTCCTTATCGCCGTGCTAAACTTGGCCCAAAATTTATGGGAATGATGAAGAAGGAGGTAGATAGTGTTGAAGATGATTGAAGGGAGGGGATTTGAAAATTAAAAGAATTTTTGCTTTATTTTCTTACCACTAAAAAATACCACCACATTAAATACATTATTTGTGCCTTATTCAGGCATGTAGTCAGGAAAAGGAATTTTTAGTAAATAAATGGTTGAATAATTTTGATTTAATTTTGAAACAAAAAATCCTTGTAATTAAATATTTTAATTTTTAAATAATTAATTATTGGGATTTTAGAGTGAAGAAAATGAGGAGAAAGGAAGGAGAAATCTTCTCTTCTTGACTACTTGCTCGAACTTTAATAATTTAAAATTAAAAAGTTGTGATTAACTTTTGTCAGAAAATTTAATAAAAATATTTTTAAATAAAAAGCTAATCACATCTCTTAACCACATAAAAACAGTCTTGCCATATTTTGCAATGCATTTACTTTAACTTAATGCAATTTATTTTATAAATTTATTATTTTTATTTTTAATAATTTACATATTTAAATTAAAACCCATGAAATTTTCCAAACCCCCGACTTCTTCGATGGAAATCCCTTTTCTACGCCAAGTGCTTCAGATGTCTCATTGGAAGACAAAGATGCTTTCATTTTTTACTGCCGGAAGCACTTCATAATTTTGAAAATTCTGAAATGCCAAGAAGCCTTTTCCTCTTTCTGCGTTTCAGGCGCACCCCCTACACCATAGAATATGTATTAGCGCAAAGATCAAAGGATCTTGGTCTCGAATTTTTTTTCTCCAGGGAACGAATTTTGTAAAAAAAGAGTCAAATAAACAAATTTATCAAAAAATAAAAGTCATTGTCCTCATCTCACTTATTAAATTTGTGGCCCCAAAGAGGACCGTTTGGGTTGAGGCTGTTGTTGACGAAATTCCAACATCGCTTCTATTCCATCCAGGAATGTAATTCTCCAGGGAATTCATTAAATTCAAAAATTATCTATGTGATTCTTAATTTATGGGATTTCTATTACCAGAATATCAGTTCAAGTTCATCTTTATACACTAATTAAGAAGAACAAACGATTAAAAAAGCTAGAATTAAAAAAAATTGAAGACGTGATGAGACTCAAATGTTTAAAAACCTAAAGGTTTAGGCTTCAAAAGGTTTAGACTAAAAGTAACCAGGTAACGAAAGAGTCTTAAAATATGGCATCAAAACGAAAGTTTTTGGGATATAACTTTTTTGTTTTTAATTCAATCCAAATAATTTTTGCTTTAATTAAAAGCTCTGGATGTGCTAGTTATTTTTTCAAAGACATTGTTTAGTTTTACCGTCTTTCAAAAAAGTTAGGAGCCGTTAACTGCGAATAATCGTGATTTAACATACTTAGGCGGGTGTAACTTTCTAAGAAATGATCGGATCCTTTCATAAAGTAAATAAAAAGAATAAAAACAAATATAGATTCTAATTGATAAAGAAAATTTCTGGAAATGATCGAAATAAAAAAAGTTATGGCATAGAAAAAGGCGTTTCGATGCTAAGTCGCCGAGACTCAATTGACAAGCAAGCCTAAAGGTTTAGGTTTGTGCTGAGACTGAAAATAAATGTAAAGACAAAAGAGTCTTGCTGACTTTTTGACATATTTCAAGTAGAGACCGGCAAAATCGCACTTCCGGGATCCCGAGTCGGGATTTTTTTTCTTGACCGATGCCGGGACAGGATCCCGAGGGATAAATCCCGAAAAAATCCCGGATCCCGGTTGATCCCGAAAATCAAAAAAATCCGGGATTTCGGGATCCCGGAAAATCCCGTCGGGATCCCGTCCCGCGCCGATCTCTAATTTTAAGTCAATTAATTTTTTTCATCTGTTTCTTTACAGATTATTTATGCCATTATAACATAACAACACCATTTCATCATTTTACTAAACAAAACCGAGAAATTAAAGAAAATTTTAAAAATTTTAAATTTTTATTAAAAATTATTTTGTGGCATTAAATAATTGTGTTTGATTGTGCAAATTGTTGTTTATCTCTCTAAAACAGTAAAAGGAAACAAAAATAATAAATCAATTGCATTCCAAAAATCTCGATTTCTAGGATATTTTATTCTTCGTACTCTGAATCGCCCCCTTTTCCCCGTACTCTGAATCGGTGGCTCTGAGTCGATCCCTACCCGAACCCAGATAATTAATAAAAGCTCTTGATTAGGAATTATTTTTCTAGCAGGATTGGTCTGATCAGATCAATAAACAAAAGTTTACAGCCAAATAAATTACAAAAGGTCTCAACAGGCGGTACTCAAACGTCTGTACTCAATAGTCTCGTTTCTTTAATTAAGTGTTAATTTTTATTTATTGATGTTTAATTATTTTAATTTTATTTCTATTAGAACTTAAAAGATTTTGATAAAAATTGAAATAATTTATTTGTAGGTGACTTACTTAAATTTATATTAATAATGGATAATAAAACTGAAGATAACTTAAAAGGGGCGCAAATTGATAATTCTGACAAAGTTGAAGAACAAAAGGTTTTTACATTTTTTTGCTTTTTTAGCACTTAGTTATGCTGTAATTATCTAGTAATAGGAGTTTAAGTTTTTTAGAATAATTATCTTTGATTAGTATGAGTCCATAGATTCTGTGAGCAAGGGCGTAGCCAGGGATGGGGGCTTCTGGGTCTAAAGCCCCCCTCCTCCGAAATGGGGGAAAGAGAAGAAATTAGGAGAGGTGTACCAAAAAATTTTTCACGGCGCTGAAAAAATAAAAATATGGTTCAAAAATAGAACGCAAAAATTTTGGCGCACACCCAATATTAGACCCCCCCCCCTCCGAAATCGACCTCCTGGCTACGCCCTTCTCTGTGAAAGATTATTGGGACTGGAAATCTGATTTTATTTTGTAGCCATCAAAAATTGTTTGAGAAAATTATTTTTTTGGGACCGCAGAATTTCTATCAAATCCAAAAAGGGAAAGTCTTTTCTGAAGCACCCTCCAAAAAAATAAAAATTTCTTTACATTTCTTACGAAAAATCCCTATATTTTTTTAATTAAATTCTAGAATGACACATCATTTTCCTCTTCATCTTCAACTGGAAGTTCTTCAAATCAAACGAAAGAAGGAAATGTTAAAAAGCAAAAACGCAAGTCTGATGAAAGTGGAGGGGATTGTTCAACCATTCTTTCTTCGTCTTGCTCAGCTCCCGTCTCTTCTGATGAAAGTAATGGAGTAATAGATGGGAAAGGGGATTCTGAAAATAACGATGCTGGGGATGGAACAGGTTTTTAGATAAATTTATATAAATTTGGTTGGGTGAATAAATTATGTATTTATGTCTCTTTTTTAATCTTATTCTTGGATAGCTTATTCTGATTAGACAAACAGGTAATAGTGTTGTTTCCAGTCCCACTTTTTCCTCACAAATTTTTTTCCTATAATTTGTACAAAATGGGAAGACTTTTCCTTGTTCCATCACAATTGCCTTACTATATTCTGCCTACAAACAATCAAGAATGATTATTTTTTATTCAGTTCTTTAGAAAGGAAGGCAAATGTGATGGAAGGAGGAAAAGTCTGTCCATTCTGTACAAATTATAGGAAAAAACTTGGCGAGGAAAAAAGGGGGACTGGAAACGACACTATTACCGACAAATATTTTAATGATGTTCTTTACAAAGTGTTTCAGGGCGTATTGCCAGTTACTGAATTCCATCTCTAAGCAAATTTCCTCTCGTATCTTATTTTCACGACTATTCTAGAATCCCTTTAAATCCTTAAAAATGCTCTCAAAAAATGTTATGAATTAATCGTCAGTGAAATTTTAATTTTTAAAGGAGGTGAAGGTACTGCAGGTACAGCGTGTTTTAATGATTCCAAAGCTGAAACAGAAGAGGATGATTATGTTCTGGAGGGTTCTGGAATGTCAAATAACACTCATGTTAATGGAATTGGAGAAGGAAGTGGCTGTAATGGAAATAATGAGGGAATTGGTGGTGAACATCTTCAAGCGTTGAATTTAGAAAATGGGGGAGCTCCTTGTGAATGTGTTCAATGCGAAGTATTTTTTATTTAAAGTGAATAGAAATTAATTTTTAATTTAAAGGTTTGTATGGCTGAAAATTGGTGGAGAATGGCTGCTTATCAAAATACAATGTTGCAGCAACAAGAGGGTGGAGGAAGTAGTGAAGCTGGAGGTTGATATATATTAACACGGAGAGGTTGCGAGGTGTCCGAGCTAAAAACGGTCGAGACCGGGCTCATTCGATAGAGAATGTGCCCTTTCTAGCATGTATTTTGAGCCGTTTTTGCCCGTTTTTTGATCTGGCCAAGATATGGCACTCAAAAGTTGCTAGAAAGGGCACATTCTCTATCGAATGAGCCCGGTCTCGATCGTTTTTAGCTAGGACACCTCGCAATCTCCGTGTAAATTATTTTTTTAAAATAATTTTCTTTTATTTTCTAGCTTCACCAGGTTTTGAAATTACTGAAAATCCGAGAGCTGCATCTGCTGCCGAGGGTTTAGGATTAATTGGATCAGGTCATTTTAATTAATTTTTTCCATTTATAAAATTTTTTAAGCTGCTGCAATGATGCTTAGTCAACATTCTGGTGTTTCTGCCCCAACTGAAGAGGAAGTTTTTCGTGCTGATTTTTCAATGCCGAAACTGAGGGAATTTTTTGAGTGCCAAAAACAAATGGGAATCCCAAATTTTCCTGAAGATTTTGGTTTGCGATTTTTTTATAAATATTTTATTTTGTTCTAAAATCCTATATTGATTCTCTAATACTAATTGATCGCTGACAGCTTTTCGCTTAACTTTTATGATCACCAATTTTTATTTGTCCTTCAATTAGTTTTTACCAAACAATGTTTTCCCTTACTACTGAATTCTTTTATTACAATTCTTATATTATTTCTTAGTATTTTGCTCAAAACCTTTCCACCTTCCAAATCAGTTAAAGGCGCATCCACCTGGTAAATGATCTTTAAATTTTTCTAATTTTAAAGATGAATTTTGGCTTCTTGTTGTGAAGGCTCGCTTATTTAATATTTTCAAATATCGTGGACCCGAGGCTTACAATCGAATTGTGCTCAAAATTCGAGATATTGCTTTGCAATTTCGTGAACAAGTTTTTAAATTATTTTAAATGATTAAAATATTTTTATAAATATGAATTTTACTTTATGTTATTTAGGGGTTCGTTTTTTATATCCATTTTCAAGGGCGTAGACAGCTGGGCTTTTAGGGCTATAGCCCCCCCCCTGAAATGGGGAAAGTGAAACCCCTTTAATCGACTACGCCCTTGTCCATTTTATTGACCAGAATCGAGCTCAAAAAATTTTTTTCTTTAATTTTTCCTTGAAAATGAATCTCCCTTGACTTAAGATAAAGAATCTTGTCACTCAATTTTTTTTACAAATTTCTTGTTTTCTTTGTTTTAAAGATTTTTTAAGGTGGAAGAGCGTGAACGTCTTGAAGCTACTGCTGCCATTTCTGCCCTTTCAATTCAGCAAAATGGTGGATTAGCCAAACAATTACCTCAAAAACTTCAAAATTCAACAAATGAGGGTGGCGGTAAAAAGAAGAATAAACAACGACGCAAAAAGGGAAGTAGCAGCGGTGGAAGTAACAATAATTATAGCAGTAGCTAATTGAGTTTGTTTTCAAATTAATTTTTTAATAGAAATAAGAGGTAGAGAGCGAGCTGGATCTGGATCCAGACCTTGATTTTTCCTGGATCCAGAGTCCAGATCAAGGCATTTTTCAGAGTTCCTTGATTTTTCCTTGACCTTGATTTTTTCTTGACTCAAGGTCAAGAATCTGGTCAAGGTACCCAACCAAAATCAAGAATCAAGGTCAAGGTCAAGGCAAATTTTTTCCTTGATTTCCTTGATTAATTTTCCCCCCAATATATCAACAAAATGCCATTAAAATCGTGTTTTTTCTCCTTCAGAATGTAATTGGCGAAGCATTTTTCTTTCTCTCTATGTATGTTTTCTACGGTACACCTCAATTGAGTCCGCACGATTGAGTCCCCACGATTGAGTCCGCACGATTGAGTCCCCACGATTGAGTCCCGGCACAATTGAGTCCCGGCACGATTGAGTCCGCACGATTGAGTCCCCCTTGTATATACCTCAATTGAGTCCCCGTGTATTTAATTATATTAAAAAGGATTAAGAGGGATATCTGGGGATTTGGAGGGATTAAAGTTAACATCACGGGACTTATATGCGACATCGAGGGATCAAGCTGGATATCGGTGAATATTAAGGGATATAAGTAGATTTAAGCGATTAAGGGGGATATCGGTGGATATTGTGGATTTGGGGATTAGGAGGGATATCGAAAGACATCCACATATCCCTCTTAATCCCCTGATATCCTTCAAATCCCCAAATACACAATATCACTGTTACGCCCTCTAAAGCTCAGATATTCAACTCAGTCCACCGATATCCTTTAATCGTCTAAAATCCTCTTATATTCCTCGATATCCGGTCAAATCTGCTTCCATATCCACTTAATCCCACAATATCTCTATATCCTATAATATCCACCTTTAAATACCAGCATATCCCACTTAATCTCCTGATATACGTCCAAATAAAAAAATCAAGAATCAAGGCCTGGATCCAGGCAAAAATAATCCTTGATTTTTCCTTGACCTTGATTTTTCCTTGACTCAAGGTCAAGAATCTGGTCAAGGTACCCAACTGAAATCAAGGTCAAGGATCAAGGTCAAGGTTTTTTGAAAATCTCGCTCTCTAATAAGAGGGTAAATTTCTCTTGTTCCTTTCCTCTTTGTTTCCTAACCGAATTGTTTGAGGTAATCTCTCGTTCCTGGTTTTTTACAAAAAAAAAATAAAAAATTTAACTGGTATTAAGTGGTATAAAATAACTAGAGAGTAGGGTTGCCGTTTTCGAGTCGGGCCGACGGTCGAGGCATTTTTTTTCGGGCTTGTTTTTATCGAGTCGGGCCGGTACGAGTCTTTTTCGGGCCTAAATTTATCGAGTCGGGCCGGAACGAGTCACTTTCGGGCCTGACTTTATCGAGTCGGGCACCGAGACATTTTCGAGTCTTTTTTTAAAAGATTTATTTAAAAATAATTAGTGGATTTGGAGGGATATCTGTGAATTAAAAGTTTCTAAAATCCCTACTGTTTTCTAAAATCCCTAGTATCCTTGTTAATGCTCTAAATCCATCATAATTTCTCATAAAGCTTCTTTATCACTTCATTGACAGTAGACAAGGAAGAAATCTGGCCCCTTGGTCTTCCAAAAGTCTTAAACTTTTCGACTCCGGCGGTAAAAAAGGATGAAATCACTGATATACCTCCAGATCACTGGTGCCAATTAAATACACACTTAATCCAATGGCGTATCCAGGGGGGCTAGAGCACCCCACCCCCCGAAATGGGGGAAAGGGGGAAAAATTAGTAGAAGAATGGTCGAAAAACTGAAATTTTTTGCCTACAACTCTCAGATTTTAAAAAAATTTAGCCTGCGGCGCTATAAATGGAAGACTTGTGGGCTGGAGATTGCGACTGCGTATTTTAAAGTTAAAATTGCGGACTACGGAAAATTGTGGACTCTCAAAACTGATTGAGTTTCAAAAGTTCAAATTATGACGGGATCCTGCGGAATATATACCATAACTCCCAGTAATCCAGCTTATCAATTAAAGCCAGTAAGTTAGAGATGTGAAGCAAAGTATGGAGCTAAAAATCCTTCATTTCAGTGCCGCAGGCAAAAATTTTGAGATATTCGGAAGGCTACGGACCAAACTTCTTCCTTTTTCAGCGCCGCGGGCGAAAATTTTTCGAATTTTGGAAGGCCAAGGAGCCAGATTTCACCCATTTTTGTCCACAAATCTGGTAAAAATATTATCAAGTCTCGTTCGAGTCGGGCCGACTTTTTCCGAGACAATTTTTTTCGGGCCTGTTTTTATCGAGTCGGGCCGGTACGAGTCACTTTCGGGCCTAACTTTATCGAGTCGAGCCGTTACGAGTCTTTTTCGGGCCCAAATTTATCGAGTCGGGCCGGTACGAGACTTTTTCGGGCCAAACATCGAGGCCTGACTCGATCTTTCGGTCCGAGTCGGTCCATTTTGGCAACCCTACTAGAGAGCGAGCTGGATCTGAATCCAGACCTTGATTTTTCCTGGATCCAGAGTCCAGATCAAGGCATTTTTCAGAGTTCCTTGATTTTTCCTTGATCCAAGGTCAAGAATCTGGTCAAGGTACCCAATCGAAATTAAGGTCAAGGTTTATTAAAATCTCGCTCTCTGAAAAAATTCAAAAGGGGTTTTCTTATAATTATTTAACAGAAAATATTTCTTCTATTAATTCAAATTTATTAAAAAAATTTTTTTCAGTTAACCAAAGAACGTCAATAATGAAAAATAAAAACTACCATTAAAAAACCAAATGTGTGAGGATTTGTATTATTATTTTTACGTTAATAATTAAATATATAGACTATCTTTTTATTTATATTTAGAAGGAGAAGTAAGAAAAAAAATGTTTTTTTTTGTGATTTTAGCTCCACAAAATATATTTTAAAAAAGAAATTCTCTCTTCTCAAATATTTTGTGGAGTAAAGATTATTTTTTATCTGACAATAAATAAAAAATTGTTTACATTTTAAAAAAGAATAATCAATATTGTGACTAAAATTGGACAAATAAAATGATTGGAAAAGATTATATTTATTTTTGTGTTCCTTTAAAAAAATAAAAATTAGAGCCTTTAAATTATTTTTCAAGAAGGAATTAAAAGAAATTTGTAAAAATAAACATTAAAATATAAAATTCCGAACAATTTTGGTTAAAATTATCATAAATAAATAATTAATTTTTAGGCTCTAAATTTTATATAAATTTAAATCCTTAATTCGGAAAATAATATTTTTAAATAATTTATTTTTCAATTATTTTCAATATTTAAAGAAAAAATATGGCTAATTCTGAATTAAAAACAATTAAGAAGGCTATACCTGCTGAAGAGGTAATTTGAAAATTAAATATTTAATTGGTATAAAACCATTGGGCATTGGATCAGGGTAATTAGAATAAGCAAATGGGAGGGGTGTCAATCACTACGCTACTCAATCGGGTTGTCTATCCGAGGAGTATGGATAATTTTATATAATTTAATAAAATCTAAAAATTTTAGATAGAGAAATTAATTAAAGAGCCAGATGAAGCTACAAAAGGATTTTATTTTCAACAAACAATGTATCGAATTAAAGATCCGTTAGTTAGCATTCCTTTTTACACAAATGTTCTTGGAATGAGGTGATTCTTTTGAAATTTTAACAAAAATATACGCGCAAGGACCGAATATTTTGGTGTTAGATTTATTAATGATACAACAACTGTTGACAATTTCGGATATAAAATTTGAAAAAATCATTGGGCTGATTGAGAGACCCTTTGTAGTGCCGATTTCCGAATATTTTATGAATTTTCTGAATTGATGCAGCGTTGGGAATTTCAATAGATATTTTAAATTTCTAATTTTATATCCACAATTGTCGTATCGTTGGTTTTTTCTGAGATTTGGTTGGCCACTACTAGATGTGAGGGGGATTTCTTTTTTCCTTCCTATTCACTTATAATTCCTTCCCCATATTTGTAATATATGTATAAAGATTTATACCCCCTTTTTTCAGGCTTTTAAAACAATTAGACTTTCCCGAAATGGAATTTTCACTCTTCTTTATGGGATATAAAGAATTAAGTGAATTGCCAAAGGATGATAAGAAGCGTCGTTATTTTGCTCTTTCTACTCATTCAACAATTGAATTGACTTAGTAAGGGAAAATAATTTTTATTTTATTTTTCCAAAAATATTTTAGTAATTGGGGATCCGAGAAAGATCCAAACTTTGCATATCATAATGGAAATAAAGAACCTCGTGGTTTCGGTGAGTTTTATAAAGTTTCTTTTTGAGTTGACGGTTGTTTAGGACATTAAATACTAGTCGATATGTGAATCACTTTTATACAATCGAACTTCGAATTTAGATACACTTCTAAAATTAGATCATCTTAGACTTAGATACTTTTTAATTAACTTAATCAGGCAAAGATTACAGTTGCTAACACGCAGGGGTTTATGAACTATTAATGAGAAAGCAGTAATTTATTTAATCAATGAATTCCTAGCTATAACCGTTATAAGGTTGCAAGTTCGATACCTGGCCGGTGTCTAAACTTTTGCTTAACTTTTATTGTATAAAATTAACTTTCTTTTCGTTATGCTCATTAACTTTTTCCAATTTAAAAAAGCTATGTATTGAATGTTATATAAAATTAAACAATTCTCTAATTAAAGGACATATCGGGATTGCTGTGCCAGATGTTTATGCAGCAAGTGCTCGTTTTGAAAAACTTGGAGTTAAATTTGTTAAAAAACCCGATGACGGGAAAATGAAGGGATTGGCTTTTATTGAAGATCCTGATGGTTATTGGATTGAAATATTTAATCCAAATAAAGTGAACGATTAAAAAGGAATGAAAAATAAATTAAAAAATTATTTTCGGAATTAAATTATTATTTTTGAAATTTAAAAAATTTTCCAATTCAATTTTTATCAATTATTTATATAATATTTTCTAGTTATTTAGAATATAAAAAATTGGTGTTTTTTATTTTTAAAATTATCTACTAATTTAAAATTAATAAAATATTTTTGAACTTTAATTTTTGAACTACAAAAATAAAAAAATTGTATATTAGTGATTGCAATTATTCCGATAATTTTTTTGATGAAATAGTTTTGTTTAAATTTGTTAGTTATGAAAACAAAATAAAATTTTTTGTAATTAAATTTAAAAGTATGTAAAATATAATTCTGCTAAATAATAAACAGTTTGACTGCATAGCAGGAGCGACGCAGTCTTGTATCTCGTGAAATCTTTTATCTTTTAGAGGTCTCGTATCTTGTTTTATCTCGTTCTCAAATTTTTTTGAGTACCTCTATCCCATGAATCTCGTGTCTCTTATTTTGTGGCACTAGCGCCACCCCTGCTACATAGAATAATTTTTAAATAAAAATTGTTTAAATTAATATTTTACTCAAAAAATCCCTTTATAAATATTTTTAATCATAAGCTAACATTAATCACAATTTTGTCTTCAATATATTTAGCTACAAGTTCTTCAACTTTTCCTTTAAATTCAAAATATTTTGGATTAATTATGTCAATTGAATAACAAAAACTAGGTGTTTTATAACATCCTTCAAAAGCTTTAATTAAAATATTTGTAATTTCTTTACTTATTTTATATTCTTCCTCACAAATATTTTGGAATAATTTAAATATTTCAATAAATAAACGGAACATTATTAAAATTAAAGTTTTGTATTTAAATTCTTTAAATGTTTCACCTTAAAGTATACATAAATGAAATTTTATTTTTTACTTTATTTCAAATTTTATCTAGTACTAGTCTTCAACGGGACCGAAAAATTTGAATAGGACTGTGGAATAAGGTTGGCGGATCCGGATATCCAAAGATTTCCAACTATCCCCAACCTTACTGTGGAACTAAAAATCTCCAATCTTCCACGCCTAGTTAACCACGTGAAAAAATAAAAGGTTTGCAACGAGCCGTGTAAACTGAAACTTCTTATTAACTAACAACACCCAATATATTATTAATTTTTAACTGTAAATCTCTCATAAATAAATGACAAATTAATAAATTCGATAAAAACTATATTTTAATGAAGTATACCGTAAATGCTGAAATAATATCCCTCTCTCAAATAATTATTATACCCCCGCCCTATTAATTACCCCATACGACTAGAGATTGAAACAATAATTACCCCTTCTAAAAATATTTATAATTAGCCTGTTTAAAAAAGCTCAAATAATTATCCCCTTTCGTTTAATTATCCTCTCCAGCGAGAAGTTGAAACATTAATTACCCTGGGTAATTATTTTAGTTAAAATTAAATTAAAATTAAATTTTTAAAAATTAAAATTAATCTTAAATTAAAAATTACTACCTTTTTTATCCCGAATTTCATTCACAATTTCCTTAATCTTATTTTTAATAAATTTAATTAATTCATTTAATTCCTTCAATTCTCCACCATTTCTATTATTTAATCCAATAATTTTTTCAAAATTCCTTATTGTTTTATAATCTCCAAAAAATTTAGTAAAACTATCATTAAAGCCTCCTTTATGTTTTTTTCTTATAATTAAATTTTTACAAACTTTTACAATAATATTTTTTATTTTTTCGTGTATTTGGTTAATTTTTGATTTGTTGATGGAAATTATATATTTATCTATTAAATTATTTAATTTTAAAAATACTCTAACATTTCAACTTTTGATAAAATTAAATTGAAGTTGATAAGCTTTTTCCTATTGTTTTTAGTAAAGGTGACTTTAAATTAGAGTTCGATCCCGGGCCGGGCCCGGGTGTAAAATCCGTGTTTTCGGGGTTTCTAGCCCGGAACCCAGCCCGGGTCTGATTGGAAGAAAAAAGCCCGGATAGCGGGCCCGGAAAATTGAAAATGTAGAACTCTACTTTAGATATTTCTTCTTTCTATACAAAAGACATTCAGAAATGTAGGAACCGGAACTGACCAACTTTTGTTTCAGTAACAATTTCTCTATTAAATTTCTAAAGGGTCTAATTTACCTATTAATTTTCCTATTTTATTTTTGTCTATTTTAAACTTGCTTATTGTTTTGTCAAAATTAAAAAAAAAGTTTTTCCTAATCCACAGAAAATAATTTTCAAAGAACGAGATTGAGACCCTATGAGGAGTTGGATTTGATTATGTTTATCAAAATTAAATCAAAATGTTTACTCAAAATATTATCTGACGTAATATCAATTTAAATTACAATTTCGACTTAAATTTTAATTTTATCAAAAGTTTTATTTTCTCCCCAAAAACATTCCTTTAAATAAAAATTATTTATTTATTACCAGTTTTAATTAAAGGTTTATAAGCTTTTTTAATATTTTTCTTTACTTTATTAATTTTTTCTAAAATTGCTTCCAAATAATAAGCAAAATTAATATTACTATAATTTTCTAATTGTTTCCTTAAAATTAATTTATTATAAGCCAATAAATTTAATTCTTTCCAAAACGATTTTTCTAACAAATTTTTATAAAAATTAATTTTTTCTTCAATTATTTTAATTTTATCAATATTTTTATTTTCAATTAATAATAATTCAATTCCTTTATTTTTAAATTCTTTATTTTTTTCTTCAATATTTTCCAATAAAGATAATTTATAAATTTCTTTTCCTTTTTGTATTTTACGTTGAATAATCTTTAAAAATTAAAAATAGGTATTTTTTTAGAAAATATTTTTAAAAATATTATTAATTTCCGACCAACCTCAAAAAATTTTTTTAAGTTTTAAAAGTCTTTTTATTATTCACTTGAATATAACTTTAGTTAATATTACTTGTAAATTAATTAAATTTATCTATTTATAACAACCAAAATTAGCCCGTTTAGAATCATTTAATTAAAAAAATTCTTAAGAGTTAAGGTAACAAGTTTCAATTTTATTGGGATTATAGTTGACATTATATTTGTTCATTCCTCTTTTTTATTTTATTCAGGGACAGACCCTCATTCAGGAACCCCACCGATTCAGAACCCGGCCCCACCGAATATCAAAGTACGTGAAGCTTGACTTCCAAACACTTAACCACCGATCGACAAAACAGAAAGTGGGAGAATATATATAAATTCCCGCCATTTTCCTGTGAAAATTTTATGACAAAGTACATATGAGAGCTTTTTTCAGCAATAATATTTTTTCGTAAATTTTATTTTTATTTTCGTAATTTGTAATTTTTTCCGATATTTTCGTAATCTTAATTCGTAACTCAAAAAACGCGGTAATTCTTAATTACGACGCAGCTCTGCTCCCTCCCCACTCCCCCTCCCCTTCCTTTAAAACCCCCAAATAAAAACCTGTTTATCCATAAAAGGTATTACAGACTTTAATTGTTCATTTAAAATATTAAAATTTAATAAAATAATATTCTCGTTATTATTTTCTTTATCAATTAAATTATCGTCTTCTTTATTTTTAAATTTTAAATTTAAAAAATTTCCCAATTTTAAATCCAAAGAAAAATAATTATCATTATTTTCTCCTTCTTCTTCTCCATTTTTAATTAATTTAAAATAAATTATTCCCTCATTATTTATTTTATCAAAAAAACAATTATTAAATTCTCCTTCATTATTTAATATTTTACATTCAATTATTTCTCTCATTTTTTCAACATTTTCTAATAAATAAATAAATTTTCGACTTTCTTTCCAATCATTTGAAATTAAAATTTCAATTGAATTTGTGTAATAATAATTTAAAAAATAAATTATTAGAGAAAATAAATTATATATTTGTTTTTTATTAAAATTTGACATTTAAAAATAACTAAAAATAAATTTAGAAAATTTGTATTTTAATTAATTTTAGCATAAAATTTAGCTAATTCAAAGGTATTGTTATGGCGAGATTACCCGAGTTGGTCCGAAAAAAATTTAATAGAAAAAATTTGTTTGAAAAATCGCTTCTAACATCGAATTGACTTGAAAACTCCTTTCTTGATTGGAGTTACTTTAATTATTTATAATTTATTTCCAATAGCTTTTCCCAAGAATTCCAACAAAATAAATAGTATAGTAGATGCTCCTCTCTAGCCAGTCCAATGTTCTCTTTGTTATTAACGTCGAATTTGCCCTTGTTATTCCCTAATGTGAACATTTAAGAGTAACTAAATATTTAATAAAGCTATCAC